CAAGTAGCCAAGAAACCCTAATAAGTTTCACCCATGCAAGAAGAATATAATCTGAATTTCAATTCAAAAGTGCTTAAAACACTCTTCTTAGTAGTCTTAACCATACATAAATCCCAATTACCTTGTTACTTTCATATCTAAGCAATTTAGATTTTTCTTCTAAACCCCAATCCTAACCAGTGAGCTTTAACAAGTTGTAACTTCCAATCTGACCATCCACTTGATGTGGAATTTTTTGTGAAATTTTCAATGCAAGTCTTCTAAATGCTCAAGGATTTTTAGCCCAATCCAACTTACATATTGTGAGAAAACCTCTAAAAATTGCACCAATGTCACTCAGCTGCCAACTTAAAAAGTAATGTAGAAATACCAGCAATGATTTCTTCCTTTTCAACCGTTAACTTTGTTTCAAAATTAGTGTGTAGCTTGATCTTCAAGTTGTCCAGCACCATGCCAATTTTCATCTTAATCCGACTAGTAGATCTTCAGATATCATAGAAATCCTACCTAACCTCAAACTGCCACCTTCTGAAACCCTCTTGAGCTAAAAACTAGATATCTCTAAATCGCGCCGTTAGATTATCACAAAACTTTGTATACCTTTAGCACACCCAATAATCCAAACAATATTAAATTTTCAACCGTAGATGTCTCATCAATTGCATGAACTAGCCAAAATTGCTAGCACAAATTATATTATGTAAAATCCAAATCACTGATACAAATACTGACTTTGAACAACAATTGCTTAGTCCTCCAGAATCCTATTAAAACAATGCTTATTTTTCTAGAAAGAACTTCAAGCTAAATTTCAAATCCTAACTTTCGATCTTTGAATGAAATCCTATTTTGCCCTAGGCCGTTGTTTTAATAGCCAAAGGTCTGATTTCGACCCTGTCTCATAAACGGTCGACTCTCGGGTATCAATCTCTCCTATCCTAAGGATTTTTTTAGCCCAATCCTACTCTCAACTTAACCCAAGTACCAACTATACTAATTATTTACCTCTTCTAACATGTTTTCATCAATTTATGGTCTTTCTAATGTAGTAGAAGAGTCTCTACAACCTAGAAGGTAAAATTACTAACTAACCTTCAACCTATTAATTATTAAGATAAGAAAATAACCTAAGAGGCTTTTATAAAAGCCATGTTTAGATACCTCAAATTATAATTAAACTAAGATAATTAGATATTAATTAGAAATCTAATTTTGATTATAATTTCACTATATAGTCGTATTATATTATGATAGCGGATATGATATTAGTGAATATACATGGGAGCCAGTAAAGAATCTTGCAAATGCAACAAAGGCGGTGGAGGCTTTTCATCGATGACATCCATGAAAATCAAGATGAAAACCTTCCTTATAAAAGAAACAAGATCTAAGCAAGATAACATTCTATTTTCAATCCTTGTTTGTAGCTTCTTTGTAGTTGTGATGCTGAAGAGTTGGGGAAGTAATAACCAACGGATTCGACTCAAGAGCCTTTGTTTGCTGACCTGTCGGACGAGACATTAAAATTGTGACAACCTTTAAGACGATGCAATTGAGATGAAGATCTTCAAGAACGACATATTCTTCCTTGAATAGATGGCGAGATACAACACGTTTGATATTACAATCTTAGAAGGGACTCCTGATGTTTGGTGATTTTACTAGAAGTAGGAACAACTCCTGACGGTGTTCCAAATGATTTATTCAAAGGAAGTTATGAAGGCCTCAACAACAATCAAATAAGTAAGTGGTCTTCCCATCTTAGTATAGGACACTACCAATGGTTGAGAGGCCCAATCAATCATCTTTGAAGAAAGCAAAGATCAGAATATGTAGCAAATATAATTCGTCGCATCATAGATTTCCTCAACATATATAATGACTACTCCTCGTGTAACTCGTCTTTAAAAGGGAGAGGGGGTAATGTCATGGACATACGCATATAAGCCAGTAATTACATGTATAAATAGGTAGAAGTAAGTAAACATATATAAAAGTAAGTTAATTCTATAATATTTATTATAAAAGTTTTCTAGAAGCTTCATAGATGGTGGTTTGACTTTATAGGTGTTTTTAATTGACTTTTTGGATTATAAACGTGGTCAACAAGTTGGCCATGTGCCACATATATTGTTAGCTTGAAGACAAAGCTAACTATGTGGCCCACACGTACAAAAACTTGCCTTATAAGTCAAGGCATGTGTCCTACAAAGTCAACACATATTGGAGGTCCTATAGAACATCGCCGCGTAGCCCCTAGTAAGGTAATATATATAGAGACAAGAAAGAAGCCTTCTTCACTCTTATCAACTCCTTTGTTGCTTCCAGTCTAGTTTCAAGGGTCTCTAATTTTCTTGGCTTTTGGCAATAGCCATTCCAATTTCTTTCTTAATATACATATCAAGTTATTTCTATTTTGTCATCTTTTTTTGAGAGAAGTCTCGCTTGTTTATTTTTTTTTATCATGTTTTTTTCTTTGACACAATCTGGTTTAGTTTTGTTTTAAATATCAACAAAAAAAAGATAATAATATAAGAAATAGTGTAAAGAACTCCAAACTAGTATTCAATCTCCTTTCTGTAAAATTTTAGAAAAAAAAAAAAAAAAAAAAAAAAAAACCATTTGATTCTAAAACATCCATGCTAACCTTCTTTTAATATCTTTCTTGAACTACTATAAAATTGGATATCTATCCTAAAAGATAATATCTTCAAACTTGAAAATTTATTTAAGCCAAAAACCTCTTATTTTAAATTCCATTCAAATTTATAAATATATTAGAATTAGATTTTTTCTCTCCTACTTGTGAAATTAAATACCCTTCAAATAACTTTAATGCACTTAAATTAAGTGCAACACAACAACACAAGCTATTAACATGTGGTTAATTTATTGACCAAGTTTCTAACCTATCAATCAACTATAAAACACATGTAAAGTCAAAGTAGTATCTATGAAGCTTTTAAGAAGATTTTCTAGAGAATATTGTGAAATAAATCTACTTTACGTACTTCTACTTAATCATATAGGTAAATATCAAAGTAAATATGTATGTCCATAGCAAATTATTTTTATAATATTGTGGTATTATTTAATTGTAGTAATTAGTATATTAAAGTTTTCCAAAATTCAAACATAGGTATTTTTTGTATTATAAAATATTCAAATTATATAACATTGATTTTTTTATCTTTTACTTTTAATCAAATAGTTTTAGAAGTCATAATTGTCTTACAAAGTTGCACAAATATTTAATTTAAATTATACAAGTTTCTAAATAATTTTCTTTTTATTAATTATTAATCTTTATAGCATATTTTATTGTTTCATTTAAAACTTAAAGTTTATATAAACTTAATGATATAAAATATCTTATTTATTAAAAATATAGATGTTTTAATGGGTACTATAAAGCTAAGATAACTAATTATTATTATTTACTTAGAAAAAAAATCTATTTAAAATTTATATAAGTTAAAAATTATGAAATATAGATGTTTAAATCATGCTATTGGATTAGATGAAATTTCTTAGAAATTATGTACAACATAAGATTGTAAAAAATCAAAAATTAAAAATATTAAATATATCACAAAATTTCAAAAATAAATAAAAATAAAAAAATAAATCCACTTCATTTTCAGCATGATTGCCATTTATAATTTAACTTTGTAAAATAACTTAGGTCGTTAAAATATTTTATTAATGTGTACTATGAGGTACATTTGAATATTCAATCTTTATAATAAATTTGAATTAAAATTTTAAACTAAAATAATAATAGAGTATTTTAATAAATAAATTAAATAAATTAAATATTAGTACAAATAAATTCTATAACTCGTATAAATATTCTCTTTAGTGCTTTATAATTTAAACTTTAAATTTTATTTTATTCTATTTTATTTTATTAAACAATTATTAGTATTCTAATAAAATAATGTAGTTTTATCCCTGAAGATGCTTAATTTGCATTGAAAATATCATTTTTATATTGTGCAGCTTGCAAATGTTTGAAAGAATAAATTAAATGCATATAATGTAGAAATGCAATATTTGCTAACAACTACTTATTATCACTGAATGTTTAAAAAATATATATATAATTTTTTTTAAAGAATGCTCCTCTATTATAAGCAAAATATACACACATATATATATATATAGTTTGAACACATACTATTTGTTCCATGTTGTTACAGGGTGATAACTATTAGCCCACAATTCTTTATGAAATACTAGTATCTTTGAAAAAAAAATTATTGTTTTTTTACGAGTTAGAAATGATACCACATGAGTACTATGTATGATTCCTCAAATTCAATGTATAACAATAGATGTTCTTTTAGTTAATGAAGGCTATTTCACCAATTTTTTTCTTAATACAAAGTAACGTGAAGTTAACTTGATTTTTTAAACATTCTGACCCATCCTTATAGCACAACCAAAAGTCCCAACAAATGCATACATTACTTTTTTTGTAAATTTTATTTTTTAGGAAATATACAAAAACTTTGGTTGATGTTTGAATCCAATGAGTTTTTTACATTTAAGAGTTTAAAAAGTATTAAAAAAATATAACCGAAAATTCCAGGAAAAAAGATTGAAGCTGAAGTGGTGGGAACAGGGGTGTGGAACCGAATCGGATGGCGATGGATGGATGCATAACAGAGTACAAGCCACCCATTCATCCAATGTGCCTCATCCCCCCACTCCCACCAGCCGCCCCATCAGGTTTCACACACGGAACACACATGGTTTCCATTCACACCGCGTCAAAAGAGGGTCCCCGTTCACACTGCGCAAGAGACGGAGCAGAGAGAGCTGGTGCGAAGACTTTGGCGTCTGCGGCGAAGACTTCCTCCGACCTTGTGACGAGGATCTGGTGCAGAGCAAGTCTGTCTCGCGGGAGCGATTGTGAAATGAGAAGAGACAGAAATGGTAGATGAAGAAGAAGCAGAAGAAGCAGAAGTAGTAGTTGGTAAAGATGGAGAGGAAGACGAAGAAGGGGGAGAATAGGGAAGGAGACGGAGGGGAAGTTTTTAGAAAGGACTTTGAGGGAGCGCACGTTGCCTCCAGTTGTAGGCTCATGCCAAGATTCATTGCCGTCATCGAAGGAGATGCAATCCCGATTTTGTCTGACGCTCGAGGCGTGGACTGAACCTCAGTTCTGCTTGTCATAGAGGTATTATTTTTAAAAAAAAACAAAACAAAACAAAAGACACACTGCTTGTGGTCTTAAGGAGGAGGGGAAACGTAGATTAGAGAGGAGGAGAAGCGAAGAGAAAGAGGGAGGATAGATAAAAAAAAATCCGTCAAGTGGAGCGCCCAGGTCCCACCAAGAGCAACGGAGCCCCACCAGTTCCACTGTGGGGTGTGAGAGCGAGATCGAGAGAGAGCGACAGAGGAAGCTGGAACTAACTAGCGTCGGGAGTGTCCCGCCGCTTCGTGGGTTTGTCCGCGGCACGGCTTCAAGGGGGAAGGTGTGTCTGTCATTAGGCCGTCACGAGACTTGTCCTCGTCGTGAAAAGATGCTCTGTGCGGCGACGGAGCCGTGAGCACGCACTATTCCATTCGCGGGTGGTGGTAGAGGGCAGAGCGCGTCAACGGCAGCGTCAGCGGTAGGCCTGGGCAGTGTGGAAGACTCGTGCCCAGCCTTGGCTGTTGTGCTCCGACCGGCAATTGCGCACTTCGACCTCGAGCACCAATTGATCGTTGCGGACATTGTCGTTGTAATTTGGTGCTGGGCGGGCTCCTCCCAGGGACTGGAGGCAAGTAATTTTCGTCGCGCAGGGCGTGATGTGTTTGTCTTGGGAGTTGGGTTGCCTGATTTTCGGGTGCTTTAGACCGGGATGCATGAGGGTGTTATTTCTCTTGTTGGCAACAGCCATGTAGCGTGTGGAATCAGTGTCGCCTCCGAGAAGGAAGGATTTTCTTCTTTCTCTTGGTGGATTTGCTCTCTTCTTTTTTTTTCTTTTTTTTTTTTCTTTTTTTTTTCTTCTTCTTCTTCTTCTTCTTCTTCTTCTTCTCCCCCCGCTTTCATTCTCCTTCTTTTCCCATTTACTTGGCAGTTGGGGTTGAGTGGTTAGCATGTAGCGTGTAGGAATTTGGTCGCTGCGAGAAGCTAGTCTTTTAGCTCTTTGAAAAGGTGAGGCTCATGCCATGTGGTTGTCTCAGGGGATACGCCAGTAAAGTTGATGAAGTTGGCACGTTGGAGGTTTGATAAAGTGGAACAGAGTGGAGCAGAGCGCAGAGTTACAGTAGATGCTGTTGTTGGTGTGCATCTCTTGCATGGCTCATGTTAAGCTTGTCGAGGTGTAGTAGCAGCAAGCCTAAGGACTGGATCATTCGGTCGAGGTTGCCAGCACGCAGATTCGTCGTGGAACTGCGGAAGTTAACAGAGACTGACAGGAGCAGACCTGTAAGGCTTCTTCGGGCTTACCCGCATGGTTTGTTTTGGCGATTTTTCCGTATCTTAAAAATCAAAAAATATAAGAAACAAGTCAAATCAGTACTCTCCTTGCCGTGGTTTGTGCATGATTTAGGTTTTGGTCTGTCGAGGGAAGCGTTTGCCATCTTCGTTCATATGGGATTTTAACATTTCCTGGGGTTGAAGTGACTTGGAGGCCGACTTAGAAGCTAATCCCCATGTGACATACATCGTGGATATTTGCGATCGTCCTCCGATGTTCTCATCAGGGTTGTGAGTTAGAATTCCGGATTGTAAGTGGATGTTTGTGTGGAGTTGAGTAGGTCGCTGTTCACACTTGCCTCTCACAAATTAGTAAAGTCTGCAGCATTTTGAACAAGCTGCTGTAGTTTACTGACTTACATCATGCGGTGAAAATGTTCACACTTGCAAATTTTGGGTTATGGGAGTGCTCTCTATGGAACGGGTCAGTGCGTTTGTGGTATACTGATCCTTTTCTGATTCACAGAATAGGGTTTCATATTATTTTTCAAGTTTAATAAGCAACCTTGTGAATGTTTCATTCTATTTACGAAAACCCGGCGCAGGTTATACTTACCTGTTTCTGGTCGGTATTGTAAGATTTGAGGTTTTGAAATGGACCCTTAAAACCTCTGTTCTTATCTTATAAATGTTCAGGTGACCTGCGTGTGGCTCTCGCAATGCCGAGATCCGGTTTCCAAGAAGGGGGTGCTAGCAAAGCAGATAAGTTGCTGGGGTACTCCTCCTCTGGGTATTCCTCCACACACGACGTAGATGATGTGAGCGAATTAAATGAAGAAGATGTTTGGGATTTAGGAGCTGACGGGTCACCCGATAATATCCCTACGCATGACGGTATCTCTAGTAGTAGAGCAGATAGCTCTGACACGTATCGATTTTTGAACACGGGAAGGAGGTGGATGGGGGTTGAGCACGAACCAGGTTTGTCTGCAGCTTTCGCTGACCACAGTAGCAGAGGATATGGTCGTTCCCCACACAAGTTGGTGGGGAGTTATGTCAACTACACCGCCCAAAGTTCCAGTCGTGAAGCCAGAGGGATTGCAACTCCATTGAGAATGATCACTCCTATCCCACAAATTCGGGAGAGTAGTCCAAGGCAAATGATGCATCAATCGGCGCCAGTGAATGTCCCCGACTGGTCGAAAATTCTGGGAGCCGAGAAAAAGCACAGGTGGGCTGATGATGACGTGGATAGTGACAAGGAAGACGAGCAGGAAGAGAGGCTTCCTCCTCACTTACACATCCAACGAGAATACGCTCAAAGCCAGCAGACAACCTTCTCTGTCTGTGAAGGTGCAGGGCGGACTTTGAAAGGAAGGGACTTGAGTAGAGTGCGTAATGCAGTGCTCAGACAAACTGGCTTCCTTGATTGAGAATGATCCTGGGCTCTTGATTTCCAAGGACCATGAAGGCAGAGTCTGCTGGCTCTCTTGCAGATGGAGGTAACAACTCGTAGTCAATTTTCAGTAGCCAAGTCAAGTGAGTTGCCGTAACCAGCTCAATGTTGGAGGAAAGTGTTTCTGCCCTTTTTTGTGTATTCACATATATTGCACCTCTGGACCAAGGTTTTGGAAAAGCTTCGCCCATTCACCAGGTTGGATAGGGTGACCTCCCAGTTTTTATCAGGAGCTGATATTTACATCGACATCCTAGATGTGCTAGATTTACGTGACACATCCATTGGCACTGACAGACTGAATCTGCATTAGTGGTGCTATCAACACGGAGCATTTTCCTCATCACCATCTTATGTTACTTGGAGGCTCGGAGTTTTGCCTGGGTGAGTCACAGGTCCTCAACAGTAGGAAACCTATTAGTATTTTCCTGCGCCCAGTGGTTCAGATTTTTGAGACTTTGTCCTTCAGACTCTCGAAATGGAGAGACTGAAACTCAGATCAGATCAAATTTTGGCTTTGGCTTGTGAAGGAAATTCAGATCAAGTAGTACACGTACAGGTAGCAGGGATTTCATGAGGAATGGACTAATGCAGATGTTTGCATTATACACTTTTGAAATGTATTTGGGAATCTTGTTGTATTGAGGATGATGCATTGTTGTCCTACATTCTTGATTTGTGGAAGAAAATGGTCCACTGGAAGCAGAGGAAACTGTTCTGTTAGAGTTTTTCACTGCGAGCGGTGGAAGGTTTTTACTACACTGACCAGTGCTTTACTACGTCTGGCACCGCTTGCAAAAGCAAAATTATTTTTTCTCATGATCTGTGATGCTTCTCTAATAGATTTTTGGATGCACTTATTCCATTACTTGAATAAATTTAATAAATATAAATACAAACGTATATGTATGTGTTAGATTTGCTATTGAAAAAATATTTTTAAATAATGTTGAATAATGACAATGGAATGTGCAAATAATTCTTACTTGTGTTTGATTAATGATTTTTTTTTAGAATTATGATTATATCTACTATTCAAACTTAAATGATAAAATCAAAGAATAAACAATAATTGAACTAGGAAGAGTGTTTAATTGAATGCAATGACAACAGTAGTTTTCAATACAGCTTAAATATTATTCGTCATCGTGTTTGTAAAATTTGAAAGTGGTGGTTGTTTTCAGTATTAGTTTTCACACTGTCTATTATTCATTCATAGGTTAAATGAAGTAAATTCTTGTCAGTTTGACTTAAGAAGATTTAAATTCTTTTAGCCAGTTTATTTTGAATTTTTAATGTCATTAAACCATGATTTGCACCATAAACATTTATAAACAAGTCTTACTTTTAATGATTGGATCTTTTCAAAAATTGTACCTGGGCAATAAATTTGCGTGTTTGTCCCATTAATTTTTGGTGTTCTTTTAATGTCAAGAAAATGCATGGCTATTGGGAAAAGACAAGCCAAGTAAGAGATCCATGTAGCTGAATGTATATTTTGCTATTATTATTAGTATAAACTATCACATTAAAAAGATATATTTTTTACAAAAAACAAAAAAACTAACAAATAAACAAACTTTACTCTTTGAGTACATTTTAGTTTTACAAAGATATGTTATGTGAGCATTTAATTATATGATTTTCTGCAATATTTTATTATATATATATTTGGATTAACTTCTTGACAACAAGTGATCTAATTATATTTATCCATTGACAAACAAGGTCTTAAATATTTCAAATACATAAGAAAATGTAAAGAAGAAAAAAAATATATCACAATCTTTTGGTCATATGTACTTGAAATAATTATTGATGTTAAACATAGACCAAATCATAATATGTTTACCAATAGTTTCTGTTCATTCTAACCCAGTGCATACAGAGTTGTGTCACATACTTGACATTGATATTTCACATTACAATAATACACGATTACGGGTATTAAATTCCTGTTCACAGGCTCGGGCACTTTCATTTTCACGGTTCCGACAACGTTCAGGACGACTTGCTGTGAAGCTGCAATCTAGCGTTACTGTGGATTCAGTGAGTAACTTGATCGTTATAGATTTCACTCAGAAACAGAGAGCCGATCGGAATACATCGATTCAAAGACTGGCTATTTCACTCTAAACAAAGTGATCCCGGCTGGATCGAGGTTGTGGAGCAACCGAAAACATGCACATATTTGTTCACGAAGTCTTCATGTTCGTCTCTCTAACATCCCCGTCAAGCTTTTTCTCATGAGCAGCCCCACTTGCTAGACGACAAGCGAAGCATGAGATCACCCATCGCAGAGGACGATAGCAAATGATTTGATTCTGAGCTTTGACAATGTTGAGGAATCATGCAGGTACAGTTGGACGAGGTCTACATTAAACCTCATGTCTAGCGAACGCACTTACGTCAGTAGCAACTCGTCATCTCTTGTAAAAACCTAAAATCAAACATGGAGTGGTCAATGGATAGGGCACGTAGCAAGAACCACATTACATGCAATGACCCAAGTGATATAAAAAACAGCCTTTCTCACGAGGAATCTACCCTACCTTGCCGTTTAATGGAGTTGTGTAGTGATCATATTGATCTACCATGCTGAATTTTCAGAACTGCGTAACGTCCCTAGCTTGAGTCGTAAAATCTACCGCAAGCTTTGTTAGCGTCTACCAATACTCGTTTCACCAGCTCCATCCACGCAATTCAGTCATAATCAAACAATCTTTCTTAGATCAGCGTCGTGATTCGCTTCAATATGATTCTCCAATACCATCACTTCTCCACGCATCGACCAGGTGAAGTTAAATCAGCCCAACCGTTAGTTAAACCTCTGTGTAAAGGATACAACTGGTCCACTTGATATTGAAATGGACCGGTGAATCAGCTTGCTTCCGCTAAACATTGCACAGTACATCATTCCTAAACTTACTTAGCCTTCGGGCAACTCTAAAAGTTTCGGTGATGCTAGGGCAAAATGAGCAGGTGGGTGGCAACGACACCCAGATTATCCACCGATCGTGCACACTAGCGTGTGGTGTACAGGTCAACAAAACGCGAATCTGGTCACGCAGTCATCGCCTACTATTATCCCACACACTGCAGCTCTGGGGGGCGCGTGTGTATTTTTACCCTTTGTGGAACTAGCCAAGACTTCATGAAATGTCTATGATACGTCGTTAACCAAAAACAAGGCAACTTCTACAAGGAAGCTCTAATAAGCTAGACTCCATGAAGCCAGGTTGAGGTCATGTCTGGCTTAGTGACAAGAAAGTGCTAGCTCCACCCCAAAGCAGCCAACTATCTAGCCTTTGAGAGAAACCCCATCTGGTCCAACTTGAAATAATGCCTTAAGATATATATATATAGATATGTGTGTGTGTGTGTGTGTATGGATGTATGTTTGTTGTCTTGCATCGCTTTAAAGATTTCTCTCTACCATTGTAAGATTGTGATGAAACCATTGTGCTGATCTTGTCCGCAAGTTTGTGGGATGGATTCAATGTGGCAAGCTTGAAATCAAACCAAATGCTGGCGTTACATGGCCTCGGAAATACATGTGGCGGTGTTTTCTGAGCCACTTTTCAGGATTAGATTTTGCCATGTTTTCAGCAGCCTCGTTCTAGACATGGAATCTGGGTGTGCACATGAGTACATTAATTTCTTGAGAGTTATTTCAAGTAAGGTTGAGGTTGACAGTAGTGTATCAAGAAGTTTGGCTAGTGAGTCTTTTTTAGCTAACATTTCTTCATTCAGGTGGTTCTAATTTTTATTATTTGATTTTTTTATTTATTACAATTTATGAGTAAGCCAACTACAAGATTAAACAAATAGAATATAGAAATTACGGTATAAATAAAATTTTGATTTTCTCTTGTACTATATTTCCGTGGAAGACATCTTATTTATATGTTGCAATGTCGAGTTAAGAAGTTTCTACAAAATTTGGATTTCTTTCATACAGTAAGGTCATTTTTTATTTTATTCGTTTGTCAAGTTTTGGTAATTAAAACCTCACATAGAATGGAAAGCAATAAATAGGCTTGTAAAAAATTGTATTATATTTTTTGCATAAAAAGGAATAAATCAGAAAATTAGTCATTGATATTTAAAAAAATATTATACTCAATGCAACACGAACTTCAAAGTTTAGACATTTTAATGCATAAATTTTATGTTATATATATAAAATTATCAATAAAAATGTATAATTATTCAATAATATTTTTAGATTTTTTAACTTATTATTGAAAAACAAAATTTTTAAGTATTTAATAAATTAGGGTTTTATTTCTAAATAAAAAATAAATTAAGTTGGATGATTCTTTAAAATATTTTTAAATATAGAATATATTTGGCATTTATTAAAACCTAATAGTTATATTTAACTTTATCTCTTTATAAATTAAGCAATTTAGATCTTATTTCTTTTAATTACTTATTTAATTATTTGATTATCTATATTTTTTCATTTTTTTATTAATAATAATTCTTAGAAATTAGCTACTACTTTTTTAAAGCTATTTCTTTATTAGAATCTCTTAGAATTTTTTTTTTTTTTTTTTTTTTTTTTTTTTTTTACCAATATCTTGTTGACTTTTATATATTCAAAATCCTATTTAAGCAAAATAAAAAATATTCTAACACATTCTTTAGGTTTCTTGTGATAGAATTTATTTTTATTTAAAATTTAAAATTTAAAATTTAAAGTGCAATAAAAGACATTTCTATTGATTTTTTAAAAAATTCTACATAAAAATAAATTAAATCCTCAAATCTTTATTTAAAATTAGTAATTTTGATAATTTAACATCTACCACAATGATATTTATAGCAAAATTGATTATAAGAATGTACTTATATTTGATTTGGTTTGATTTCTTATTTAATTTTAGATTTTTTTTTTTTAGTTTATTTGTTTAGTTCATAATTCAAAATTTTCTTAGATTTCTCTCAAGAAAACATTTTGGGGACCTGATTTTTTGTTACTATAAGTGAAGAATAATAAATTAGAATAATAAGACTCTTTGGAAATATTTTTCATTAGTTTCTTAATTGTATCTTTAATTTGAGAAAAAGAATATTTTAGTTGGTTTAAATTTGGAATAATCTTTTGCTATGATTTTTTTTGTTTTTTTTATACTTCCTAAAATATAGAAATTTACTTTGTTTAAGTCTCATCTAAACTATATAGTATTCTATTATTAATTTAATAAGTAAATAATATTTAAATATTATTTTTTGTTAAGATGATCTTGGTTTTTTTAGAAGAATATTAAATGAACCAACTTTAAACTTAAATTAAGACAAATGTCTCCACTTTGCTCCACTTTGATCTACTTTTGCAATCTCTAGAAATGTGCATTCTTTCATTAATCTCACAATTTTGTTCTCAAATAATGTGGTATTTTAAAAGGGATGAGAAGAGTTGAAAATAGAACTCTTAGGAAGGGTTGCAATGGAGTAGCTTGGAAAAAGTATAAGACAATTAATTGTAAGAGGTCAATTGCAAAGGTAGAAATAAGCTATAAAAAGACTATTTTATATCAAAAATAAGTTGGAGAGATGTTAGAGGTGAATTATAAAGAAGGATTGACAAGAGAGGTATGACAAGAAGAAAAGTTTACAAGGATGCCAAATAATAAAAAATAATTAATAGTTTTATATTTTATTTACATTAAATTGATTTAAGAATTAGATGGATCAATTTGATATTCTTTTTTATTTATTGCCATGCTTCTATTATACTTTTAATGTTGTAG